TTTATTTTTTTAGTTCCCACTTATGAGTGAGGACATGCAGTATTTCTCTTTCTGTGCTTGGCTTAAGTCACTTAACATAATTTTCTCTAAGTTCATCCATGTTGCTGTGAATGGGAAAATTTCATTCTTTTTTATGGCAGAGTACTATTCCATTGTGTACATACACCGCATTTTCCTTACCCAGTCATCCATCGATGGACATTTAGGTTGGTTTCAACTCCTGGATATTGTAAACAGGGCTGTGATAAACATGAGACTGCGGGTATCCCTTTGACATGATTATTTCCATTCCTTTGGGTATACACCCACCAGTGGGATTGCTGCTTGTTTGGCAGTTCTATCTGTAGTTGTTGGAGAAACCTCCATACTGTTTTTCATAATGGCTGCTAACCAGAGCCAAGCAGAAGGTATCTTTTACATGCACACACGTTTTCATGGCACTGTAATGTATCACCTATCAGGCCAGCACCCCTAGCAAATCCGATTGAGCAGAGGAGGGGCCAGCCCGGCAGCTTTCAGAACACTGAGGGTTTAATCCACTTGGCTGTGTTTGCAGCCATGGTTGGACCTGAACTGCTTTCACCAGGAACCACCAACCCCATGACCTACCCCTCTCTCTGCCTCACTTTGGCCAGCCCTGATGGAAGACCATGTCTTGGTAACTTGGTCTCACCTCTAACTCCCACTCAGAATGCACATCTCTAGTTGTACGTTGAATTCCTGTAGCTATCAGCTGGAGCCTCTGCTCCCAACTGTGTGGAGATATGTTTTCTTCCTCATCTGAGCTCCTCCCACTTTCAGATCCAATGTCCCGTGTATATTATCGATGCCAGCTCAAAGGCATTTTCCCCTGATGTGAGCTAGGTGGGGGAGCCCAAGCCTTGAGGCTGGCAAGTTGAATGGTATTAATCAAGCCCCTACTATCTGCCAGGGACTCTTCACTGATTATCCCATTGAAATCTCTCAGCAACTCTCTGAAGTATTTATTACTGTCTGCATTTTCCAGATGAGGAAACTTGAGACTCAGAGAGGCTGAGTGAGTGGGCCAAGCTTCCACACCTAGAAAGTGACAGTCAGGATTTGAATGCTGGACTAAATTGATTTAAAGGCTGGTGTGCTTTTCAGGGCAGGTGCTTTGTATCACGCCATGTTACCTCTTGCAGATTGTTTTATTTCAGTGGGGGGAAAAAAAACATAATTAGTCAGGTTAGGTGTACAAATACTTAGGAAAAATTTCCTCATGTGT